ACATCGGTGTTACTGTGAAGAATAGCTTGTTTGGGGACATCCTAGAATCATGTAGCTTCCAACTTTCAGGGGTTCTTTGGAATGATTATGAAAGGTTTTTTAGTGTACCTGCAGCTCGTTGTTCAATGGCGCTGAAAGATCAACGTAAACCCCTCCATCATCGTCGTCGATGTAATCGTCGTCAATAATCTATAACATCACAAGAATGGACGGCGCAACGATTTTAGGTTTCATTCTCTGCGTACAGACCTCAGAAGTATCGTCTTCTTCTTCTTCTTGATCAACAGCAACATCGTCATCTTCTTTTTCTGGTGGAATCATCCTAAATAAAAGTTGTATTTCGAACCTCGTATTATCGGGATTGCGGGAACTATTGGCTTACTTCTCCCATTTAAAATTCGTGTGAATGAGAGCGGCATCTGCTAAAGAGTTAAGTACATGAAGAACTGATTCGCCCGCACCAGACTTCAATTTCGTGGCAGGAAAGTCAGCATTGAGATCCTGTAATTGTCATTAATGGGATGGGATGCTAAGTTTGTTCAGTATTCGGGAAGGAAAGTTGCTAACAAAACAGCCGAGAGTGTACAACTATTAGGGTGTCCACTAAATTTTGAGACCAACGGTTTTCAATTTTTTTCTTTTCTCTCTATGGATAAAGGATGTATACACTGACGATATTATTGATAATCACTTACCAACTGCTTTGCAAAGTTTGGACTCATTTCATCAAGGAGGAAACTGCAAGCAATCTTTTATCATGTGCTACGAATTTTCACGCTCTTCTTACTAAGCTGCTAGTTATCTTTAGCAATTGCTGCCTAAGGGAATGCTCTTCTTTCCTAGATTGGGATTTCAAAAGAATGGTTGACATGAATGTCTTTGGCTGTACACCTTTAGATGTCAGCTTAAGTAATACTCAAATGAGTTGCCATACTATGAAAGATTTCTTGATATTTTCTTTTATTTATGTTCTAAAATTGACAATATTTTGTTAGCAAGTCTTCAAGAAAAAGTTTTTAAAAATCGTCTTCAATTTAGTTTTAAGACTTATTGGACACGCCAATATTCGTTCAGCAAGTTAAGAAAGTTGCATGACAGTCTCCAGATATTCTTAGTTTAAATGCAAGGTAATGAATCGTTCTAGGAATTTACAGCAATTGCAAGATTTAAGCAAGGAAAGATATGTATTCTCCCCTTGTAGTACTTTATTCTACATTATAGTTTGTCTTATTCATTGATCCTAGTCAGAGTTCACACCCCAGATATGAGGTCTGAACTTTGATTTCTCTCAGAACTCGTTCAATTTCGTCCCAGCAGCTTCTTGTTCTTTACCGATTATGATCCGCTTCTGCTATAGATAGTATCTCGGTCCGCTAGCCATGCGTTAGCCCGTCCGGCATTGGTAGGCTATAACTCACCTTATGCGTTTCACTAGCACACTTTCGCTTTTTTTCTTATAAATAATCCTCCTTTAGAAGGCTTTGCAGAGCGCATTCATGAACTTTAACATACTGGATCAATAGTCAACAATATTTCAGTTTCTCCAATCCTTACTCTGACTTTTTTCTATGAGACTAAAAAATTTGCAGGCAGAATTCAAGGTATAGAAAAAATGTATGTTGATATGCAAAATACCACGTCATTCTACACTATGACACTTCTAAAAGGTAAGAGGAATTTTTAGCTTTTTAATGAAAGATTTTTATCAGTTAATCCAGTTTATTTGCTTTCATATGATTTTATAAGACATCCTTCATAACTTGATTATATTCGCATCTTAGGTCAAGTAGGGCACAATTTAATTAACGTTTCCTTGAATATAAACTTAATAGTGCAACAGTTAGCTGCATTCTTTGAGGTCAATCCTGTTACAAAATAGATGTTTCGAATAAGCTTCAAGCATGACATGCTAGGAATTGATCATAAGCCTCTATAGCCGAAATGTACATTTCTGGATGCAATGGAAAACAATTTCTTATATTTCTACATATGTCTATTCCTCATTAAAAAACACTACTAAACTTAGCAGGCCTACTCCATCCATTATAGCATGTGCGAACCGTTAGAAACCATCAAATGTATCGTGTAACTATGATCAGGTGCTTGACTATAATTGGAACATTATAAAATTCTTATACCTTCATGGTATAAAGTTGGAGCTTTCGAATACTAATTGCGCGTGCACGCTATTATTTATGTTATTTGAATCAGTAACTTTTTTCTGTCAATAAAAACGCATTTTTTTATATTGCAAATGGAAACTGACAAGAATGTCTTGCCATTCAATGCGATAATTTGTAGATGTTAGAAAATGGAAAAACGTTTTTGTAATTTGTATTCGGTGAGCAAACGTATTGTTCGCCTATACTTGAATCTAGAAGTTAATACGAGAGTGACACTAACATTTTGAGATATGAGGTCCAGATACTTGTATTCTTGATTATTATACGTAGACCAAATTTTCAATTAGATTTCTTTGAAATATATCCTATCTTGCAATAGATCATGATTCGAAAGATGTCTTTTTGAGGGAATGTTCAGATAGAAGCCATGTCTATGCCACACTGAAAATCACTGATTTTAGCACCTCGTTATCGCCGCCTCTGCCTTGCCGCTTGCGCAGGTTCTTTTCTACTTTCTCTTTTTGGCGCAATCATTGGCCTATCCTACTTCGATCGACAGCACAACAACATCATTCATGAATACGTTGCACGAAATGATGACATAGCGATACTGTCAGCTACTTACTACAAAGTCTCTAAGAGGTAGAAAACATTCTCAAATCAACATATCAGCAGGTTGAGTGTAAGTTAAGTACTTTAGCTTTGAAAACAGTACTCTTGTATTGTTGTTGAACGCTCATCAAGTATTGCATCTGAAGCACTCAGAGCTGCATGCTATATCAATGAACTCTTCGGGACCGATGCGAACAAGTTTTAGGTAAGGTGCATCATTAGATTTCCATTGTCTGATGTATTCTCGTGTTTTGTCGTTTTCCTTTGTCCATTTTATTGTTAGAGAAGTCAATGCTTTATACCATGCGCGATTTAACACACCCACACAGGAGCTCAGTAGCTAGCTATAGGAAGAGATACATATACCGCGGCTTCGCTCACCTTTGTCAATAAAACAGAGGGGCTGCGGCCGCCACTTGTGAAAACAAAAATATTTCATTTCATCTATTAAAAACATGCTATTTAAATCAAAAACTTGGCAGTTCAATTTCTGATACTTGAAAAAATAGGTGTTGAAGAAAATTAACCGTTCGAGAGGTATCTATTGGGTTTATTTTTAAACACGACATATTTTCTAAAAATATGTTGGAGCTCTCTCGATCATGCTACAACAACATTTTTTAGAACACCTTTTTGTTCTAGACAGTGTTGCCAAATTATATTACGGTTTTATTTACCAGTGCACAAGAGTGCAGGACAGCAACCCGTTCCAAAAAATATTTTGGAAGTTTGTCAACCCTTAGTGAAAATGAGTATTCATGCTAACCAAACAATGATTAGGTAAAGATGGTTTCTTCAACCAAAAGAGCAAAATCGAGCTAGAATGTGACACCTTTGGCTCTGAACGTTCTTGACCCCCACACCCACTAACTCACTAGTAAATAAAAAAGAGACAACGAAGCAGCTCTTGCACGGGCATTAGGCTTTGGCGCTCATTCTCTGTTTTGCCAAGCAAATCTTCGCACGTTATGTATCTTATTGAGAAACCAAATTTTTTGAAAACAATCAATAATGAATTTATCTGTCCATACCAGCAATGAAGAGCTACTTTTTCCACTTCTCTTAATGTTGTGCTTATTCTATAGCTTAACGCAGATTTCGCAGGCTCGACAAATCGCCTCTAGCAATGCTGACAACTGCGCAACCTTCAGTTTTCAAATCCAATATTACATTTTAACTCAACCAAAGGATTCTTTCAAAGCTTCATATTGATTATTTACTTTGAACTAACTCTTTCAAATAATATAGGACGGAAGCCACGACAACTGCGCTTCAATAACCAAAAATTTTAGCAAAATTTGGAGAACGTGTGCTTATTTAAGACTTCTCCAAGATTTTTCCAGATAGAGGAAGGCTTTTGTTTCTGGCTTCTCCGTTTTGTTCAATAGAATTTGTCCCCATGAGTCTAAAAGTTTTCGTTTTTTGGTGGCCCCACTTTTCCTTTTTCGAGATTCCCATGAGAAAGCCTTGCATGATGTATATAGAAATGTAAACAAATCGAACAAGTCTTTTTTTGCTCTCTAGAGTTCTTTTTTGTGGTTATTGTTGAACAAACATTGCATATTGTGCACGTTTCTCTAAACATAGTATCGTTGAAATAACTGTTATTTTGACTTGTTTTTAATAATTTAGGTTAGGGACTTTTCATGGATTGGTCCTAAATTTCTAAGGAACAAAACAAGACGTGCTTGTCCTGCTTCTCTGCTTTCGGACCACATATTTATAAACCCCGTGTAGAAATTATAGGGTGTCCAGTAAGGAGAAGTAGAACATTTTAACAATTTTGTCTTGATAGATGTACTGGCGTAATGATTTAAGTTATATTGCAAAAATCCTTTTCGCTGCATTGACCCATTAAATGCGGACAATCTTTTGATTATCTCATCTAAACCTCAGTTGATCTGATGATGGTGATCTTTTAAAGGTTTGAAGTAATTCTTTGATATCAACAACATTTTTGAAAAGCACAATTTCAAAATTCCAATCGCTGCTCGTGAAACTACAATTAGGCGTTAGGGGAACATACAAGAAATATTGCTGCCAAGATTTCTAGCACATGTCAAGGATCGGACGCGGATTTCTGCTGGGTGGAAAAAGTTCAAAATTTGTCGGCAGGTAGCAGATGATTAGCAATATCAAGGAAACTTATTCGACATCTTCGACATCCTATTAGTATTTGGTAACTGTAGGGTAGCTCTGGATTTTCCCATTAATAAAAGCAGAGGTAAAAAGAACTTCAAATGATTGCATGCTGGGACAACATATAGAGTATCTAGGGATGAGATACAATTCATTCTTATAATCCTGGATCTACCTGGCGTGATCCGTTGCGTCAGCGCCGTCACAAAGGGACAAAGTACGTAGATTACTCGTCTAATCTCAACAGCGTATCAGATCTACAGCCACATAGGTTTAAATGCATCCTGCAAATCTTGATCCTCACTACGAAGATCGCGGGAAAGACGCATGAAGATTCCTGGGGGGTAGCAAAAGAACCTTTAAAACTAAACTTCAAACGCTGTTGTCATAAATTTGCCATGGGTAACTTTA